CGCGCCCCTCGCCCCGGGGTCCCTCGGGGGCAGCGCCGGCCCTGGCCGGACGGTCCCAGCGGCTTGGGGAGAGGGAGCTCCGGGCACAGCGCTACCAGGGGACACGGGGCCGGGCAGAAATTCCCCTTCTCCTCCTCCCCACCCCGTTGTTAGGAGCCCCTGGGTGCAGTCTGTGGCTCAGCGCCTCGCGGTGTCCCACTGAAGTTACAGCCAGGCCGGGTGAGCTTCAGGAAAGCCGCCTCGCGCGGTCCCTGCTGTCGCCCGAAGCGAAGCCCTGGGAACAGTTAATCTGCCGTGACTTTGAAGCGTCCTGCCCCCTCCTTCGGGGCCCGCGCTGCACACCTGATGCCAGGTAGAGTCGCACGCACGTCCCTACCGCATCTGTTCCTCACGGTGGGCCCCTCTGTGAGGGTGAAAAAAGGGTTATGATGACCCAGCGTTGCTCCGCTGAAACCTAAAGCAACCCGATTGCCTTTGCAAATCTTCCTGTGTGCTGCACTGTGCGTCTTGCTGATAGGCAGTCTCTCTGCGTTGTCTTGTGCTCTCCCGTTTGTCCGGACACCTCTTGTCTCCCATTTCATACCTAGGCGTGGTTTATACTGAAAAGTTTTGCCAGCACAGCCGAGTGGGGAAGAAATCACATTCCCAATGAACGTGGCTGTCCTGGCAAAGACAACTGGAGAGGCAAGTGCACCAGCAAAAGGGAAAGAAAACAACCCCCCTTTTCTCCCCAAACGCAAAACTTTTTTTCTGGCATAGCTTATTTCATTCAAGGAACTGGCAACTGGCAATATAGCTTGCACAGGCTTTTCCTGGTAATACAGCTCTGCTGGGGCGGTAATATGGACACACTTCATTTTAACTGTAGGCAGGTCCATTGACTGTTGTTTTCTGTGTCCAAGCTGTCACTTTGTCTGAGTCTGGGCAGCTCCTAGTACAGAGAGATCAAGCTAGGACTCTCCCGTACTTTGGTAATACAGCTGCTACTGTACCCATATAGTAGCTTTGAGCTAACAATGAAGATTACTTTGTAGCTCAAAGGATTAAATTTGGCACATGGTTGCTTTTTTGCACAGGCATGTGCTCTATGACTAGAAATGGTAGTTTTCCCATTAAACAGTAATGCAATCTGGTTATGCAAACCACCCTCTTGAGAGCATCAGTTCTTACTCAAATGAGGTAGAAATGCTAGTACATCAAGTAGGTGGTGATTCGGCTGAGACTTCCGAGCTGCAGACTTCTCTGTGTTGTGGCGGTGCATAGGGATGTCTTTAGATAATGAGGTCGAGTCTTTGCCTGCATACAAAATGTGCTGATATTTTAGGGAAAGGGATTATTGCTTTTCTGAAGAGCTGCTGATATTTTCTGCAGGTACAGCTTTAGGTCAGGTTTAGTAACAAGTTCAAGGTGTTACCCACTGAATGGAAACCAGGCAAACTTTTTAAAAATGTTTTTGCACCTTGGTTTGTAGTACTCAACAAAGTATTGATGTAGGACCAGGTTTTGGGACACTATCAGAGAAAAAATATACTGTAGTTGGGCACAAGGGCTTCATGGAGCTGAGCTTTTAATTATACTAAGCAGAAAATACTTGGAATCGGTGCCTGAAATTCTGCTTGCTCCAATACTGTGCTATCGTTCTGAAATCTAATAAATGCATAAGCTTGATTAGTTTCACCCTGGCAGTCTTTTGCTGAACAGAAGCTTTAGACTGGGTTAGCAAAACTTTGATTTCTGCATGTCTTGACTCTTCCAGCAAGCATGACTTTTCCCTATCGTCACATTCTGCTTAACAGTCTAATAGCAAAGTAATTGTGTTCCCTTTAACAAAATAATAAGGTTAAATAACTTCCTGATGTGCCTCAGCAGTTGTGGGGAGGGGAGGTGGAACCTCAAGCAAATCCCCTGGAAAACCTTGTCTTTCTCTCAAAGTGGGATTAATTGTTCTTTTTAACTGGCGACGTATCCATTCAAATGAGCACTACTGCGTACATTCCTCTGTGACTATTAAGTATGAGATGGAGGACGAATCCCCTCAGTCTGACACGGGTGTAATTCCCATGAAGAATGCAATGTCTAGTGAGAAATGATAGTTATAACTCATTAGTGGAATAGCAAGTTTTAGAGGGCATCTGAATTACTACCACGGAAGAAACCGTGAACAGTATTTATCTCTTCTTACTGTACCTTCTCTTTATCCCTTTTTGAGAAAGGAGCAGACTTCTATGCAGGCAGCCAAGAAGGAACCAGGTAGTTTATAGGATTTACCTTGCATGTTAATCGAGATGTTTCTCCCTAAAAAAGCAGCACTCTGGAAGAAAATGTCCCCTATACCCAACACTTTTTTTTTTTTTTTTTTTTTGTGTGACCAATCTGCTATATTGTGGGACACTGTCAACTTAAAATCCAGTTGCATCAAAATCAAAATTTTGAGTTAGATGTGACTTTGGCAGTGATGCATTTGAGACCCTCCTGGGTTGGTTTTTTTTTTTTT